CCATTTGGATCCTGTGTTCTCATCGAAATGATACTACGATAATGAGACTTGAAAATCTGTTCGTTATTTAAAAAATATAGATTTAATAAATACTCTGTTACTCATTCACATATTAGCTTTATATAATGGCTTGAAATATCCGTTTCCATGCGAGCCTAAATATTCAGACCAACTTTGATGCGAGGATATATTTTTACACGTTTGATCCGGCAGCATATCCTCCGGACAAGTGCACTCCAATCTCATTCTGTACACCGTCATCTGCCCTAGAGAAACTTTTACATTCTCCTTCTCTAACGTTTCCTTACGCGTCTTGTAATTAACACCTCGTTCTTCTAAACATTCTTTTATAATCTCGTCGTTCTGCTTGTACTGTTGATTTTTCTCCGACAACACTTTCTTCCAATGAATGCAATCTAAATCCTGTTGCACCAACACCACTGGTACTTCGGAGGAGGGTAACCAGAATGTAGAAAATACTAAATCTACAGAATTCGTTCCCTTCGATTTGAGAATGGGAGGTAACAATATCCCAGTTGGTGGCTGCTTTTGTACACCACCCGCAGAGTACATGTGATCGTCTTTGATCCTCGTTTCTCGCTTCTTTCGTTTCCTTAATTCCGCTCCAGATATATTCATCTTTAACTTTCCATTAGTTCCCACCTGTTTATTCTGCTTTCTGAATGACTCGTGATTACCTGTGGCAACTGTAACATTCTAAACAAAGTTTTCTATTAAATCTCTTTTAAGGCACCAAGTATTTGTTAATAATCTTACCGCAGGATCAGTTATTCCTTCTGCCGTCTCTGTGTTATTTCGTAAATGTACTACATTTTCATTCAATACTTTATTACTCCCATCCTTCTCAGTATTAAAGGGTTGAGATACGTTTAGATTATTGACAATATCCATACTCGTTCTGTTATTACGCTCATTAATAAATTCAGGATTAACGTTACTTCGTTCTTCGCGTATTTCGTCCACTTGTTGATAATCCAACGGTTGTACCTCCTGAATGTTCGATTTATCGTCCTCGTTGTACGGCATTTCATACGACATATCATTTTTATTCTCAATCTTTTTCTTCGTCCATTTGTCTTCGTTTCTCAAGCTGTAATCGTCATCGGAATTATCATTAACAGGCATGAATTGATTATAATTCTCGTAAGAATCTCCCTGCTTCTGTTTAAGCGCGTCTATCTGATTCCGATTTTTATAAATCTTCGCCGATCGTTCAGAAACGAAAGGTACAGCGTCGTACTCTACTTTATAATTCGCGGAGTTATTATACTCCAAAGACTTCCAATCCTCTGAGAAGTACAACGAAATGCCTGGTGGTCCGACGTGTTGGCTCAGAGCGTACAAGTTTGTGATCAGAGTGGAATTGAATCTCAGTTTACAAAGATTAGCCCGGGATTCGAACAGAAAATCGCCATTTTTAAGAAATTGATATTTCTCTTTGTTTCCTTCGTAGTTCAAGCAGTCGACCGACCAATGTAAAAACCAATCGTTCCCAAATCCGTCGACGGTAACGGATAAACCAGACATCTCTTCGCTTAAACTATCTTCTATCGACCTTTCTAACAACGGTTTCCCAGTCTTTCCATCTATGATCGTTGCGACCGTGTAGTAATACGTCGGGAAGCCAGAGCCTATTTGATGTTTCACCATGAAATCTGGTACGTCGTCGTCGTTGTAATAGCCAGGAATCGGCACGCTTATCACTTCGGATTTCGGTACCGTGTACTTCCAGATCGGTTTGAACGTCAGTCCATCGTACACTATTATCGTGGAATTAAACATAGCGGCAACGATATCTTCCACTCCGTCTAACGTAACGTCTACTAAAATCGGAGGTAACAAAGTTCCCCTTCCTGTGTTGTGGTGCAATTTCCGCAGTTTCTGTAATATATCATTTTTCGTAAGGGTCGTCTTTACTTGAATTAATCAGAAATACTTACCAAGTCGCCGTACATCAAATTCACTTGAGGAACCACATACAATCCGCCTGACCGTTTCTGACTGCTCGTCGCGAGAACGAACATACTTTCTCCGTCTGGATGAATCAGTTTCTGAGGTGCCGAGAACAACTGTTCTGTGTTCGGTAAAACCGAGCTGTGTATAATATGCCCGTTAATTCCTGAGATCAGGAGGATCTCGTTTGAACATATTTCTCTCGACTGCATAGAATGCGACGCTATAACGTCTCCAACATCGTCCCCGTCTACGTCGGCGATGAACTTGGCATCATAAATATCCGAGAATTCCCATTCCTCTAAATCTCTAATTGGTAATTCCCACAGGCTAGCACCGCTGTCTCCATTAACCGCGTGAAGTATCCCGCTCTTGCCGCATATAATGCAATCTTTGATCTTGTCGTTATTTAGATCTAAACCGCAGTCGACCGAGGAGATCGCATGAGCCGTCCAATGCATCCAAAGCGTGTCTCCTGTCCTACCGTTCAAAGCTAGAATCCCACCGAAACAGGGATTCTGTCCATCGAAATACAACGTGCAAACATATTCTGAGGTAGTCGTTATATCCAATCCTAAGAATATGCCAAAAGAATATGCCTGTTTTTAATATGTTCAAACATTATAAACGTATGATAGAAAGTAAAATGCATTATTTACCAAAATCATAAAAGCATAAACTTAAAATCTGTAAATCAAAAAGTGAACGTATTAAAAATGTATCAACCAAAGGTATTGAGAATCAGCTTAAACAAAGTGTTGGACGTTAGTGAGCACCTGTGCTAAAGCCAACTATGATGTCTTCGATTCCATCGCCATTGACATCGTTGCTTCTCAACGGAGATTCCGACATGAGCTTTGGTAACGATCTGGTCCATAGAATTTTTGTTGTAAGGGAAGTACATGGAACTATGTTCGACTCGTGTAAGGCTTCTTCGGGCTCGTGCGACAGCCAATTTTTCAGGATCGCAATTGGCATAGGAATTATGTTGACGATGTATATACATAGTACGATTAAGCTTAATAATACTACCAGTGCCATGAATCCGAAGCAAAGAGGTACGCAAATAGCTCTGTTTGAAAACCTGTACGTCTCGAAATTGTACGATTTCTTGTATTTTCTACGAGGTGCCATTAGGGGCCTTTTAACGCCCCTATCATCATCTAATTTCAAGCTGTCGCTCTTTCCATCTCTGATAAACACCTCGTCGTCGATATCTGTTAAATCCTCGTCGTCGAACCCATCCTTTACAGACAATTTAGGCAATGCTGGATATACAGCAGACATCGTTCTTCACCTACGGTATAAAATAATTTAAATTAAATACCGTGAACGAAAGCGATGCATTTTAAGCATGTAATATTTGTTGTTATTTACGTTTACGTGGATCAGAATGTGAATTTCCAACAGCGAACTCCGAGCAACAATGAAAACTGGTTCTAAGTCCTTCACAGCGAAAGGTCTATGAAAATTGGACAGTATTTCCCTAGCGAAGCTATAATTCCTTATCTCCAAGAATTTTTCTGAAGCTTATCAGATTTAATCGAGACGAGAAATTCTTCGTTTAACACTGCATTTAATGTACCTCGATTGAGTACGATTTCAATTTAATTTATGTGTGCATGCCAAGCAGGACGGAAATCGTTTTATGCACCTGTATAAATAGACAATACGGTTGAATTTCATTCAAACTATTTCTTTATTAATTAAACTTTAAAAGATATACAATAATTTACAAGGAGGATTGTGTAAGTAATGCATGCCTAACGTTCGGGTATAAAACGCGTAACAGACGTTGCAAAACTTGGGACTCTTATGTTACGCAGCCATGTCAAACACGTCACAAAATAATATGCAACTCGTGGCTGTCAGGTAACGTAATTGTTACCTTTTGTGTCATCTGCCCCGACAGATCTCGTGTCGTCGTCCTAAATGGTACTAAATTCTGAATTCAAGGCGACGTACGATGTTATCTGCGAACTTCTTTACACCGTTGCCGTTGCTATTTTTTATAACAATTATGTACTAATTTCTATAGAAATAATTATCGCGACTTGCGTGCGAACAATCAATGATATCTGTCCTAGTTCGCCTTTGTTACCCAACAGACAATAGTACTTATATTTAGCAAAAATCGATGTACTTCGAAATGCAAACATTCCATGATTTACATAATAATTGATTAATTAGAGATATAATAATTTAGAACGTTCGATTTACCAATATGTCACGGAAAGCAAATATCACGAAATTTTAAATATAACTAATTACGCTTCCTTGAATAATTACTATAAAATCCTGTTATATACTATAATATTCTTGAAATAGGATCTTATTATTATTACAATGTTTTTACTCTACGTGTTGAATGTAACTTCGTGAAGTCGGTTTGATTACGAGATAAGATATGTAATCGTAAATTGGTCTACGTCACGACGCGCCTGTGGAACGAATCGTTTGCGTCCTCACGTACTTATTGCTGACGCTAACGAACGGTGTCGGTGTGCACAGGTGAAACATTCGTGGAATTTAATATTGTGCAGCAATTGTGTACATAAAAATGTCAGTATTAGAGGCACCGCCGGACGTGTCGCTTCCTTGGATCATATTCCACGATAACAGACACTGAACATTTTATCTAATCATAATTCTGAGTAGAACCGACTACGAACTATGATGTGCTGTAGTTCATTTAAAATGTTATTACTATCAGTGTTTAAATTCACGATGAATAGTTGACGTTGTCTACGAGCATCGTGATTGTACATCGTTTTCAATTAAAATTTCCAAACTGGACACTCTTCTCTGTTAAAAGCACGTTCAAGTTTCTCGACGAGTTTATTGATAACTTAATTGATCAATCGAACTTATTGTGAGTTTTCTCATCTCTCACTTGGCTTTTACATTCCACGAGTCATTTATGTCACCTCCTGCTTCATATTTTTTTATGTAATAGACTACTTGACGTTTTTAATGTCAGTTTGGAATACGTCATTATTCCATGCATACCTGAAAATCAGTGATATAACGTGAAAACAGATTAACTCGTCTTGAGGTATATTTGAGTCGTCAACGATGTAAGTACTTAAGGGAAATTCTTGAGAAACGTTATTGGAATTTCGAATATTCCCTTCCTAATTACAATTACTACTTTCAGAGATACTGTATTAAATTATAAAAGATGTTGACGCAAGCTATGTAAAGGAACAGAGCAATAGGAAAGATATTTACTTACATAGGGAATGCTATGTATTAAGGATGATCAGGATAAGTCTCAGTTTGTGTATATTCCCACCAATGATTCATAGGTAACATTATTGAACCTGTCATAACTGGTATTACATTGATAACACTGATTTTGTGACGTTGTAGTGATTTGCAAATGCTGAGAAAGAAGAATAAAATTGTTATGTCTAGCATAAGACTTATCCCTTAGTCAAATCAAAGTGGTAGAGTTTTATTTTATATAATGGCTCTGCAGAGGATGACAAGCATTGCTGGTAAATTATTTTCAATCTGCCTAACTAGAATTTTAGGTACCGAATTATTCAATCTGTGAATCTGATTTTTCCTTCAGGTATCAGAACTACTAAACATTTTATACTGGCTCTTTCCGCTGGGATAATCATTGGATTTCTCGTAGCATGTTTTGTGATAGGAACTACCAGGCACACACCGTACATATCTAACTGGTTTTCGAACAGTTTTGCAATGTCGAGGGATCCGCATCATTACTCGGAATTAGAGTCAGAGGTAGACTATATTACTACGTTCCGATCTTTCGTATTCAATTGCCGATTGTAATAAACTATTTAACAGATAGGTCCTGAAACAGAGGTGAAATTCCATGAGAACGATGAGGATTTTCATAAAGGGGAGGACAAAGTTGCTCAAGAGCTCGCGAAGAAAGTACGGGTCCTTTGCTGGATCATGACGGGTCCAAAGAATCATCAAACCAAAGCGCAACATGTAAAGGCCACCTGGGGGAAACGTTGCAACATTCTTTTATTCATGAGCTCTGCTAAAGGTGAACTGTTTAAATGTAATAATGAATATTTGCGAGGACCTCTGTTAATTTAATTCTCTTTTCCAGATGCCAATTTACCTGTCGTCGTTTTACCAGTGGACGAAGGGCGAGATAATTTGTGGGCGAAAACCAAAGAAGCTTTCAGATATGCTTACGAGAAATACAAGGACGAAGCCGACTGGTTTATGAAGGCTGACGATGATACGTAAGTAATTATTTACATATCTTATTACTGGGACTCTCTCTCGATTTCGCATCTTGCCTTATCTTGATTCTACTACCTGTGGGTGGAAAGATACGAAAAGTTATTTGAAAAGGCTTTAATCTTATCGAGCATTTTAATATGAACGAATTTCAGATTTTGATTATAACATATGATACCATTTAATATCTGCCTTTCGAAGACACAACTTTTTATACACAATGAATTTTACACGTTACCCATAAACTAAAAAATTATCCACGACATACTTATGCGAGTTAAGTAAGCTACTTTGTACATCTTTACGATTATTTCAATTTGCAAAGAATTCGTTAGAAAAGTATGAAATATAATACAATGTAAACTCGGGAGATACAGTGAAACAAACAAGGTTTTTAGTTCAATGTACATACATATATACTTTCCATGAATCAACGATTGAAGAGTTTTCTGCTCTGATCGATTATAATATACGTCGAAGTTGTTATCAAATATTGGTACGCGATTCATCCTTCGAACCTTACTACCTCAGAAACCTCTTCAATTAAATTCGTTTACTCAAAGAGAAAATGAACCCGACAGAATATAGTAAAGTCGATCTACGCAGTTGGATCGGCTAGTTTCGAAATAAAATCGATTTTCTTTCAGATATGTGGTGGTAGAAAATCTACGGTATATGCTGTCGTCTTACGACTCTAGTTCACCGTTATACTTCGGCTGTAGATTCAAGCCGTTTGTGAAACAGGGGTACATGAGCGGCGGCGCGGGATATGTACTTAGCAAAGAGGCTTTACGGAAATTCGTGGAGGAGGGCCTGCCCGACAAGAGCAAATGCCGCTCGGACAGCGGTGGCTCGGAGGACGTGGAGATGGGCAAGTGCCTGGAGAAGGTGAACGTGAAAGCGATGGACACGCGGGATCCGCACGGTCGCGGCCGATTCTTCCCCTTCGTACCGGAGCATCATCTGATCCCGAATCACGTTGACAAGAATTTCTGGTACTGGAAGTACATTTACTACGATACCAAAGATGGTCTCAATTGTTGTTCAGACACTGCGATCTCGTTTCATTATGTGTCGCCTAACATGATGTACGTTCTCGAGTACCTAATTTATCACTTAAGACCGTTCGGCATCACGCACGGCATTGATAAGCTTACCGCGGATCAGTCAGTCACCGCAGCCACTGGATACTAGTCTGTTAATCTTTAATACGGAGTGTCATAAACGATCCGTAATTCGGTTCTCTAGGAGTTCCTGCGAAATTCGGTAATTTCGATAGACTGAATGGAGTTTTCATGTATTTTGCAATATTGAAATTGGAAACAAAATCAAAATCTATTAAAACAGAGTTTTTTAAAAATTGTTCTACTTATGAAACGACGCTTTTATCGTTGTTTACGATATGATTTTTATATCTATTAATATTGTAAAGGATATTATACATGTTTCAATGACTTGGAATCGGATTGAACAAGTCTGAAATAAAACTGACGATAACTCAGCTCATGTATGTCCCTTTCGTCTATCGTGTGTGCAACTAGTCCGTTCAGGCCAACGAATTAAGATGTTAATACGTGTAATTCACTGAAAGATAAAATCTTGTGATATATGTGTATAATATTTCGTAATACATATATATATATACATATATATATATGTTTATACATACCTATTACATAATGATGAAAAATGTGTAATTTCATTGTAAGTGTAAAACGGGAATATTACATTACTCTACAAATAAATGTTACAAGCATACCAGAAACGAGCGTGGTAGTTAATTTACCACCTACTTTCACTCCCGACGATCTTCCCGTGTTGGCTTTTAAAATAAATTAAATGATTAAAAGAATTCTCGTGACGGAAATCAATTTCCAAGGCAACGTCATTTCTTGGAACGAACAGAAAACGTATAATTCGTGTATAAATAAAAATATACATATTTTTCCATCTCTAAATTTCTTTATATACAAGTACCTTTACAGAAAAAACAATAAAAATCATTTTCGTAATTCGTCACTATATTAACTTACAATATATCTATATTATTTATTCAGCGAAGTGATTTTTTTAGAGAGACCCCTCCGGTCTCTGGATGTAAATTAAGTATCGGTTCCACGAGCTTCGCGCTTTCTATTATGCTTGCAACATAAATATTGTAATCCGTACGCATGCTTCGTGTGAAATGAGGTATATAATTACATATATATATATACAATATATATATGTATGTACGTATATACACGTAAAACTGTATTTCGTAATATTAATATAATAATGGTAATAATAGTAATTAATAATAATAATCCCAATAATGACGTTCTACCCAGGTAATAAATACTATAGATACAATGTGAGTGTGGTTGTGTGAGTAAATTAACCAATTAATTTTATAAGGTGGGGGCGGTTCGGGGGAGAGGATTAGGGGGGGGTCTTTGCTATGTACAAGTCATATTTGTACTATGCGACTGACGCCACGAGCCCACCGTCGGCTTCTTCATTCAGACGCGCCCTGTAATTCATTTCTCTTGTCTTTTTATTTTCGTTTTTCCTGCGTGTATAGTTTCTCATCACTCTGCGCTCGTTCCCTCGCTCCGCTCGTTTTGTTGCACGTGTTCCTGTCACTCTCCCTTTCTCTATGTCTCTCCTAAATCGCGAGGAACGAACCTGTCATTCTTTCTACTCTCTCTTTTGCGCTTCTTCTTTGCGTTCACTCTTTCAATTTATCTAATATTCTCGGCGATGTCTCTCTCTCTCTCTCTCACTTCATAAATTATTTAAAAACAATATTTTACACTATTAATGTATGTATAATATATAGAGGTCACCTAATTCGAATAAAATTTGTCAAACAGCATCGAAAAATTTGCGCTAACGGGTCCAGGAAACGTGATAACAGTGACCCAGTGCCGCGCGAGCATAATATAATTATTATTATTATATATATGTATAATTGTCATACTTGTATTTTTCACACCAGGGGCTTGTACGAGGCATTTGTTTGCTTGCATTNCTCATTACGTAATTTTCTTCTAGAGATTCTGATTTATAATAATTGAACTATCTACCGACAGAGAGGCGATTATTTAAGTTAAACTCGTCGTTTTTCATTTTTTGTTTTTACGCGCTCTCTCTTTTTGCTTCCCCTTTTCTTGTACACGCGCATTCTTCCCGTTCTTTCTACTCACCCTCTCTCACGCACTTTCGTCCCAAGTCCTTTCGCTCCCTCCCTTTCGTTCGATCAGTCTCTCTCTCGCATGCGACTCTATCCTTCCACTCAGACTTCATTTGGTATGCGGCAAATATATGCAGTCGTTAGTAATTTTACCTTATATTATCAATTTTTTGTTTGTTACCTCGTGTGATTACTGGTTAAAAAGAAACAACGTGAGAAATACAGTTGCGCCCGTTTAATTGACGCGTCCACCCCGCGACCCGGAAATGCTTTGGTAAGGCGTGATTCTCTATCTCTACACTTCCGTTTTCAACTGTTCCTTTCTATTTTATCCACGCCCAATTCTATTTGAGTCAAGAGGCAATTCCTGGAATCCGTTGTCAATTAATCGGACAGCACCGTATTCAGTTTCTCTCGTTTCAAATTAAACGTGATCAGGAAAGAAGTCGAAAAGAATATCCACCGTTTCATCGATAATTATCAACAGTTTTCGCAGCGTCGGCGCGTTGTAACATGATTCACTATATTCAAACAAAAGGAAGAAAGAAGAAATAATAAATAAAAAACAAAGCGAAGGAACCGAGTAAAGAAAAAAATTCTCGGTTATTTCGCATTCTGAGATTTTACCGACTACACGGTCGTGGGGGGTATGGGAATAATATCGTTTACTCCCAACAATTGTCCGGGGGGGAATCTCGAAGTGTTTAACGTGCGGTCGAAGACGGATGAAGGGAACCACAGTTGCCCTCGTAAAGCCCCGAGTGACGGGTATCGGTAAAGGAGTGCGTGAAAGAGGTGCACGTACTGCACTACGAAGGGAAAGGGTGTGGGTCAGACGAGAGCAGCCGCCGCGTGGTAGAGCTGCATGAGCGCCTGCACATGCACTGGCAAACAGGACAGCCGGTCCTTCGTGTTCGCGTCCACTGCGAGCCACGACAATGCGTTGTACCCTTCCAGCACGTATCTGTAAACGTAATAATAATAATAATTCATAAATGCGTCAACAATTATTCGGTAGAATCGCATGCAAGAGATTTATTACAAATTTTCTTACAAATTCGTTTGGTATTGTAATAAACTCGATGATAAAGGGAAGATACGAAACCTGAGCACATCGGTGGTATATTGTGAGTCTAGCGGATGAGCAGTGAGAGCACTTTGCTGTTGTAACAGGTCATCGCTATTCTGCTGTATTGCCGGGCTATGCAGGTGTAAAGCATTCTTCAAGAACACGGGGCAGACTCCTTCGAGATGGGGACAAGCTGACCAAAACCACGGTGGCATTCGTCCTGTCGGCGCGGTGGAAACCAAGTAACCGAGAGCGAGCGGTTGCTGCAGCAACGTTCCCACTTCTTCTGCCTGCTCAGCAACAGCTACCTGTGCTCATTAAAATCCACGTTTCTTATGCACTATGTTCTTGTTATTGTATAAATTTTATGAAAAAGATAACGTACGAACTTCTTTCAAGAAACATAATACAAGTGAAATTTTAGCACGTTTCTTGTTGGAATGTTTGACTTACTCTTGGCGTGTTGCTACATGGAAACGGACTACCAGGACCATCGTGATTCCCTAGACCCGAGCCACCACCGTCACCACCCAGCGGGGATCCCTCGGGTCGATGAGGACTAGCGCCAGGACTTTGTCCTCCACCAGCCCCGGGTTCAGCCCACACGCTGAAGATATCATTGAAGTCTCCCATACCTTCCATACCTTCCGGCATATCGTCGTTCAACGCAGAGAATAGCTCGTCGTCTCCTAATTCTGGTCCATTAATATGTTGTTCTTGGAATGCAGTCTGCGACGACTGTAGCAATAGAAAAACACAACGACCATTTACTAAATGGAAAAACACGATTCCGGTAAATCTGTGATCTCTCGTTTTACATTAGACATTGAACGTTGGTTAAAATAAAGAGACTTGCCTGTGTGGTGGCGGATGTAGGAAAGACGAGAATATGGGTGCATGTAACGTCTTGTGGTGTAGATAATTGGCAATTTACCGAGGCCTGGCCGAACCTTTCATCGGGCGTAAATTGATCAGCCATCAGCCTGAGAGTAGAATCTGGCTCGAGCGAAACTAAACAAGCGCTGAGCACGCAAGGTGCCGCTGTTGGATAGAGAAGACTGCACTGGCTGCATATTTCTTTAAGGTGTTTAGAGGCTTTCAGAAGCGCTTTTCTAGACAGTAACCAGCTCCATCCTTTGAGTTCACCGTGCCCGATACGTCCAACGCGACCTACTACCAATCTCCAAGGCTGTACCTAAATACACACGAATGTTTTATTTTTCAGACGATCTCAGAAAACTGACTAACATTTATGGTTATACACCATGTATGTATTGTAGATCGACTGATCATTCGATTCCAACAGATTTATATAAGGATGTATAGAGTATACAGTCAATCCCAAAAGTTTATGCACTTTAGAAACGCATTTTTTAAAAAGAA